TTCTCTTGTAATATCTTTTCTTTTCTTGTTGGCTAATGGGCCTCTCTTAATGGGCCYRTTATTTCTTTTTGTTTAATCTCTTTATGTTACTGCCTAGCTAGCCACCCACTTAAGGGCATACTTGTCATTACTCTAACATTAATTCTTAATAAAAAAGGATTAGAGGAGAAAGGAAAGTTAATTCGAAACTTCTTCCTCCTCTTTTCGCCATCTTCTTCTCTTGTGCTGCTACTCTTACTTCTCTTCTTCCTTTTTCTTCTAATCTTCAAATTTACACCTAATATTTGAAGACTGATTTACATCTTATCCCCGGGCAACTAAATGTGCCTTGTATCAATCAAGAGATCCATCAGACTTCAGCTTAATGTTGTAAACCCAACGACTCCCAACAATTTGGAGGAGCAGGCATAAGATCCCAAGTGTCATTCTCATGTAAAGCATGAACCTCTGCATCCATGGCTTCCTTCCACTGAGGGCTACTATCAGGTTCCTGGTAGGAGCGAGGAACATCTGTGGAGGATAGGACAGAAGACAAAGAGCTATGATTTAAAGGAAAACCATAGCGGTCAGAAGATCTAGATATATGAGTAGAACGACGAAGAGGAACAGAAATATGAAGAGTGTCTGAAGTAGAGGTATCACTTACAGGAGCAGTGGTAGGATGATGATCTGAACCAGGAGGAAGGAGAGTCGCAGGCGTAGGGGCTGGGGCACGTAACCACTTGCAAGAGAAGACGAGAAAGTCCTTCTCAGCAKAAGGAGGTGGTGGAGCATCCTGTGAATCAAAGTTTGGCAAAATAGAAACAGATGGTGCAGACAATCTAGTAATTCCAACAAAAAATGAAATGTGCTCAAGGAAAACAACATTACGTGATATACGAATGCGACGAATAGAGGAATCATAACAAAGAAATCCTTTGTGGTCAGGACTATAACCCACAAAGGCACACATGACAGACTATGCAAACAATTTAGAACGTTCACGAGAGGGAAGATGAACAAAGCACACATCCAAAAACATGAAGCATAGATAAATCAGGAGAACAATCAAATAACTTCTAAAAGGGAGACATATTACCAAGAATTGAGGAAGGAATATAGTTTGATCCAAAACACAGTTGTACCGGCAGCCTCTACCCAAAAGGAAGGTGGAGTATGGGACTCCTGCAATAATGTCTTCACAACACTAAGAATATGTCCATTCTTGCACTCGGCCACACCATTCTGCTGAGGAGTATCTGGACAACTTCATTGCACTTATATTCCATGATCCTTCAAATAGGATAAAAAATCTCCATTAGTGTATTCTCCTCCTGAATCCGAACGGAGAATGCGCACTTGTGATTGAAATCGAACCCGCGCCATAGCATGAAACAACCTAAATGTTGGGAACAACTCAGACTTGTGGCGAATAAAGTATATCCATGTGTACCTGGTACAATCATCAATGAACAACACAAAATATTTGTATCCAAGCCAAGAAGAGACACTAACTGTCCAAACATCACTGTGTATAAGCTCAAAGGGAGAGGTAGCATGCTCAAATATGTGAGGAAATGGTAAGGTACGACTCTTACTTAAGCAACAAGAAACACAAGATGTATCAAAGGTGTGTAAGGAAGGAACTTTATTCTTAATAAGGCCTGAATCAAACAAAAACTTTAATTTTTCATAATGTAAATGACCCAGACATTTATGCCATAAGTCCCAAACATTATTTCTATGACTCAGGAACTAGAAGTGGAGGAACTGAAATAAACTGATGATGTTGTTGTTTGAGGCGTCTCGAACTCCAATGCAAACAAACGGCCCAACCTGCGCCCCTTCCCTATCACATTCCCAGTGCCCTGGTCCTGAATCAAACATCCATCCTAAGAGAAGATGAGAATGTTACCTTCATCAATTAATTGGCCAACAGAAATCAAGTTTGTAGTGAGATAAGGAACAAGAAGGGTCTTGGTAAGAGGGAAAGATGCAGTGGGTGAAAGCTTAAGAAACAGATCACTACTACCAATGATGTTTAACTTTTCACCATTGGCAGTAACAATATGTTTGTGATGGGTTTTAGTAAGGTTACTTGGTTGGTTAGGGTAGCTCCTGTCATGTGTTTGGTAGCTCCAAAGTCAATGATCCAAATATGAGAAGGAGAAGCACAATAACCGGCAAACTCACCAGGTAAGCCAATAGCAGAAAGAGCAAAAGGAATAGCATATGTTACCAGTTGTCGAATGTTTTGCTCAACCATAGATGCCAGAGAATCACCTTTAACAAAAGAATCGCCACCAGTAGTAGATTTCTTACTCCCATGCGCTACAACAGCAGTGTCAATTCCATAGGTAGATCCTTCCAGTTTTATAAGAATAGTATCGACTATCGGAGGCCATTTCAGCAAGAAAACAACACTCCAGGCACAAGGATATCAAAGACAACCAAATTCAGTAATCAAGAACTCAAGATGATAGTCCAAAAAAGGCATGCTTTTAAGAATGTCGAGTCTAAGGCCTTTCAAATATGAATCTGAAGTCTGAATCAAATAAATGAGAGGCAAGAAAACCCTAGAACGACGGATGACACCAGATCTAGGGTTATAGGTCAATCGAGTCAGCCAATTGAGAGAAATCTGTGATTTACCAACACATCAAGTGTCTTCTTCAAGAACAAGGAGGTATCTTATGCTGAATGAGGCAGTCCTTAAAAACTCCAAACATAAACTTAAGTGTAGGGTTAAGTAGAGCTTGAGAGAACCCTTCAATCTAGAGAGAAAAACTTAAATCGCAGGCTGATGTAGAAGGCCTGAAGTCCAAAAAAGAGTTGCAGTCCTAAAATGGAAACTAAACAGTACTGCCACCCCAAGAAGATCAGTATTCCTTCGAAAACTTCACAAAATCAGATGTTGTTTGTAGGTGGAATAGATCAGGTCTGGGTGACACCAGATCTGAAGTCCAAAGCTGTTGCAGTCCAAAAAAGGAAACTGTATAGTGTTGCCGCCACAAGAAGAAGATCAGAACTCCTTCGAAAACTTCACCAAATCAGATGCTGCTTGTAGGGAGAATATATCAGGTCTAGGCAACACCAGATCTGAAGTTTGGCCTCAAACCAATGTCTTCGAGAGAGATCTAAGGCTGTGTTTGGTTTGAAGGAAAAAGTAGGGAAAGGAAAGGAAATGTGGGGAAACCTTTACAAATCTTGTATAGATTTTCTACCTTTCCCTTCCTTTCCCTACCTTTTCCTTCAAACCAAACAAGGCATAAAGAAATCTCTCCTGCTGGTTGCGCAAAGAAGAAAGAACAGAAAAGGGTTGATCAAGACAGCCCTAATACGACAGGTTTACTGCTTCTAGTGAGGTTCAAGAGAACGAGAAAATAGATCAAAGAGCAACCTGGTCTGATACCATGTCAACACTCTTGGCCGAATAGAAAAAAGAACAAGAATAACCTTAGAGGTGTCAAGAAATGAATGACCCCCACCTCAAAGAGTCTCTTATATATTAAAAAATATGTACAATTACAATAATGCCCATATAGGGCTGAGAGAAAAGAATAAGATGTAAAAGTAATATACAATAGGGACTATACTAATAAGGTACATCAAGTTACAGAGTCTCCACAATAACAAATTCTAAAAGAGTGATCAATTGCTTTGAGATGGTAATTGATTTGTGGGTCAACCAAAAGTAGCACTGTCATAGTAAATTCTGTTGAAGGACTGTTGGAATCCTTTAAATACATTTTGGGGTGCAGAGAGGAGCATTTTCCAATTTTATACTTGAGGATGCAACTGGGGGGAAATCCAAAAAGTCTCAGTTTTTGGGGGCCAGTAACAGAAAAATGCGAGAAAAAACTAACTTGGAAGAGATGCTATCTGTCAAAAGGGGGCAGACTCACTCTTTTAAAGGCCACCCTTGCAAACTTGCCAATATTCTACTTGTCAATCTTCCAAATCCCTGGGAAAGTCAGAAACCAGCTTGAGAAACCCCAAAGAAATTTCCTTTGGGAAGGCAGAGGGTAAAAAAGAAATCACTTGGTAAGTTGGGATCAAGTTTGTAAGCCTAAGGAGGAAGGCGGGTTGGGCATTGGCCATCTCAAGGAGAAGAAAACCTCCCTTTTGGGGAAATGGCTTTGGAGATATCCTAGAGAGTCTAACTCTCTGTGGGCAGCAATCACCTCCAACAAGTACAGGACAAGCTCTAATGGTTGGGATAGCACTCTCCACTTGAATTGGGTTAAATCTACAAATGGCAGTATTTTCTTCCCTTTCATTAGATACAGAGTAGGTAATGACCGCAGAATTAAGTTCTGGAAAGACCTGTGGTGGGGCAACTCTACCCTAGCTACCTCTTTCCCCAAATTGTTTAACCTAACTCTAGATCAAGATGCATCCCTCTCCTCTTGTTTTCCTGCCACTCAGTCTGAGAATACCTTAAACCTAAGCCTTAGAAGACCACTTAGAGACCCAGAGATATCAGAAGTAGCAGGTCTCCTCCAAGCTCTAAAAGAGGCTTACATCTCACCAAACTCCCAAGACTCAAGAATTTGGTCCCCTCACCCTAATGATGATTTCTCTTCCAAATCTTTTTACAAGGCTTTGACTGCAAGTGAACAGAACTCCTCTTTTCCCTTCAAGAATATTTGGTGCAGACACATACCCTTAAGAGTTTACTTCTTTGCATGGGAAGCCTATTTGCAGAGGATCAACACATGTGACCTGCTCCAAAAGAAAAGCTTGGGAAGACTCTTCATCTCCCCCATGTTTGTATCTTGTGCTTGAATAAAAGAGAATCAGCCAATCATTTACTTCTTCACTGCAAGGAATCCAAGAAGATTTGGAACCACATTCTGGAGATGGCAGGCTATAACTGGGTTGCACCGGAGAATATTCAGGATTTCATTCAACAATGGCAAGGCAGAGGGGTAAGCAAAAGAGGTAAAACCAATTGGCAAACAATCCTACATGTGGTGATGTGGAGTGTGTGGGAAGAAAGGAACAACCGCCTCTTCAACAAGTTAAAAACTCATGAGAATCGAGTCTCTCAAATCACCTATCATTGTAATCTTTGGGCTACCAATTCTGATCATTTCAGAGGATTATCAGTGAACGACCTTAATAGCAGCGCTCGATCCTTCCTTTTTCACTAGACATCATCCCCCATGCTGTCCCCCATGGTTTAGGAGTAAGAAGGGAAGGAGGGATGTTTTTAAACTTTGACGGGAGTGTGTTAGGGTGCCCAGGAGTTGCTGGCATAGGAGGCATTATAGGAGATGAAAGGGGCCTATTATATGGACTTTCAGTGGTCTAATAGGTGTCGCTGACTCCACAAAGGTAAGTGTTGGCAGCCATTACGAGAATAAGAATTGTAAGAACTCTGAACATTCAAAGTTTAACCAATAGCAGGAGACTCAGCAAACACCATTAAATGGCTAAGAAACAAAGAAGGTGGTCCATGGATGTTAGATCACTTCTTGGCAGAAGCCAGAGACTCTGGATTCACTAAATGCAAATCTGATTTGGATTCCAAGGCGTTTAAACTCTGTTGCAGATGGCCTAGCCAAATTAGGTGCCCATTTAGATGTCCTATATAGTGATAGCTTGATTCCTGTGTAATTTCCAGGGGTTTTTCCCCTTAAGATGTACATTTCCGCATGTACTTTCTCTTTGATCAATAAAATCTGTTGACTCTTCTCAAAAAAAAGCGTATATGTACCCACTTATCCATGGAAGATCATTGAAACCAAATCATAGCGATAATGAAACCAAAAATTGTCTTTTCCATCTAACAAGGATTATGCAGATTTTAACAAGTAAAACAAAATATTTTAAGACAAAAAATACCTTGAAAGTTACATGAAGAATTATTTGAGAGCCAAGCAGACCATTCCATAAGAAGCCACATACAAGCAAAATGTAATATCCACCAAGTATCAGTCGATTAAAGCACATTGTAAACATGGAAGAATCCAAATTTAAAGGAAGGAGTCCAATTCCTTTTTCTTTTTCTTAAAAATGGCAAGGCCTTGGATTTATAAGTCAAGGCGCAAAAAAAAAGCGCAAGGGGCATTTTCCACCAGAGGCATGAGATGCAAGGTGAGGCACACACTTTTTCGAAGAAAGGTACAAAATGCAAAAGTTGCTAAAAATTTCAAAAAATGCAAAAAATGCAAATTATTAAAAATATTAAACACAATATTAATTAAAATATAAACTTACGTGTTATAATAAATGTTTTAAAATAACCTATTATCTCAAATTAAAATACATAAACATAACATGTAAAACATATTTAAGATGAAAATTTCAAAATAAAATCAAGCATAACATATAAAACATATTCAAGGATGTAAAACTCCCAACCTCTTTATTTTTTTCCCAATTACATTACTTCAAATAGCAAATGCGATGTTAAACATTATGCATTCGTGATTATACAAATTGCCTTTGTACCAAGCCCCTCAAGGGTCTTTTAAATCACTGATCTCAATTTATGGCACACACATTGTTACAGTAAAAGAATCAAGGAACAAACAAAAAGAATTCCCCAAATTCTATAATCAGAGAAAAAGAAATATCAATACTTACAATCCACTGCACTTTCAGAAACCATGAAAAATGAATAAAAACCAGCGTGAAACAACAAACTCTTCACCTTAAGAAGTTCAGATGAGCGGAAGCCACCAAGCCACAAAAAACACCTCTCTGCAGGGGTCTTCCACATGCCTGATAGCATGTGGAAGACGTCGGCTTTAGCTGCAATGCCCTTAAGCCTGAAAATATCATCATAGTGTGCCATAACACCATCAACGATAACACGAAGCTCACTATCACTTGCATGGGAATTAACAGCATTCCTTAACTCGTTGATCTGTCGATTGTGTTCTTCCAACCATCGTGCATATTCTATATCAAATGCCAAAGCCCCTGTAGAACAATGCTATCAACAAGACAATTTTCTTTACAAGCAGTAACCTATAAAAAAATCAATAGCCAACATGCTGACAACAGCAAGATGGAATTCCACCCATGGACATGCAATCACCAAGATAGTATATTGTTGAATGACATAAGATAAACAAGAAGAAATTGTGCAAATCTTTTCAATAGAATTACCATGATCAATGCTGGCTCAGTGAAGTGGCCTTATGACCAGGAGAAAATCTGCTTGTGCAATCTCACCATTTTCTCATTTATGGAATTTTCACTAGGAAGAGCATAGGCAAGTTACATGCACAAAAGACTTCCCATGTAACTCTTGCTTGGCCTGCAATTGTAACTGGGCTGAATTGGAAATTGTTTTGGGTGGTTGGGATATTTTCCAGCCTGTTGTACATTCTTATTTTTTGATGAATTTTGTACATTCTCATTTTACCATTTAATTAATGAAATTTAAGCTGCTTATCAAAAAAAAAATGTTGCTATACATGCCCCGCCCATACTATAAACTCCTTTTTCTTTTTTTTTCTATCAATAACTGCATAATTCATTAATAAAAATTACAGATAAGTACAGTGAGTATAGATACAATGAAATTACAAAGAAAGAAAAAACCTCCTATATCTCCCATGACAAATCCCATCCCATATAGCTGTGCCCAGAAAATAGTCTCTCTCCCCCCACCCCTTGTTTAAAGCATCTGGCTAAGGAATTGGCACTCTGCTTAATCCATCTAAACGTTACTTCCACGTCTCTTGTTAACCATCTGATTTTCTTCCTTCCACTGCACGGTAGATCCACATCTTCTCCGCAGTTTGAATCCAGTTCACAACCAGTTTTGAATCTCCTCTTTTTTGAATTTTGAAATTTAAGACATACACAAATATTTTATGGAAACAGAAGCACCAATACACATGTATAAATATCTAAAACACACAATACAACAAATGCAATGGAACACCAACTAAAAAAGTAAGTATATTTATATTGTAAAGCAGTCTTCTCGATAGGAAAAAAGGGAGAAGAGAAGAGAATATCTCTTTTTTTATCAGCAAAGAAAAAAATATTAATTGATTTCATTCAAAACTTAGTAGAAGTATGTTTGAAGAGATGATGATGTACAATAGGAAACAGAAAGAAAACAGCCACAAGCAACACAGGCAGTGATCTATCACCATCTAAATACTCTACATGAGCCCCATATTTATCTAGACCATCTGCGATTGTATTTTGTTCCCTAGGAAACCATTTCAGGTTTTAAATCCATATAACTCAGAATATCCCTGGATTGGGATAGGTAATGAGCTAGTCTCCAAGGACCACTATCTTTTATCCTAACTACCTGATAGTATTTGCAGAATCTCCTCTAATTCTCACATACAAAATACCCAAGTCTTTGGCAATACAAATGCCAGTGTGTCACAAGTGACCATTTTGCGGTGCCTTCAAGTGCCATCACCATGCCCACAGCATGCCATCCGAGTGTCCAAGTGTGCCATGGGTGGGACATTGCATGTATTTTGTATGGGGGGGATTGCCAATGGCATTATTGTAATTCCATAGTATGATTTTTCACCTTTTTGATGTTTCTTTATGTCACTCCCCCAAAAGCTTAACGTACTCTTTGAGGGGAGGTAAGTAGTCGAGTGAATCGGTAGCGTGTAAAGGTTAAGCACGAGATCCCCTTGACACTGAACTGTGTGCTTGTGCTTACCATCAATTAATGTAATACAAGTAGCATTTTTACTAATTCGTGTGCCTTGTTGCCTTTTGTGTGTTATTGCGTGCATTTGTAAGCTTACTCGATCACATTGAGTGCCACACGGGGCCTCGCCGAATAGCCTCGTGACAGTTGGTATCAGAGCAGGAGCTCATTCCTAGCCATTTGACCCGTGACGCGAGCTACACTATGAAGCACAACAAGGACATCATGGAGGAGCTCATTCCCGACGATGCACCCACCGACGACATTGGCAAGGACAAGGCACCAAGCCCAGCAAACGTGAGAAATCTACCAACAAACATGCAGCCATCGACTTGCGCATGCTACGTTGCGAAGCCACTGTAGGTGAGATGCGAGATTCAGTAGACGAGCTGCACCAAAACATGGAAGCCATGGAGAGTACACTGGTGGAAGTGGAAGGCTGCCTAAGAGGAACCGTGGATGAGGTCCGCGACATACTCAATGGCATGCTCAAAGAAATTTGCAGCACCGTGCGCCAACAAGAAGAAAGCTCATCCAACTCGCATGTCCAAGACAAACATGACAGCTTTCAAGCCCAACTCGACAAGATGGAGAGAATGGGCAGCGTGGAGGAAAACCATCTCCACAACAACGGACGTTCAGGCCGAACTAAATGACATGAAGACTGAATGGGCAGCTTTGAAGTCTGCCCTAAACACCTCCGCTGATGTCCAAGCTCAACTTGATGAAATCAAAGGGGAGTGTGCCATCATGAAAAGAGCAATGCCCAACCCAGCCAGCACCTCAACCTCGCTCACTCATTCCTACGTCAAGATTCGGGAGCCAGCTCCCTATTCGGGCACTCGTGATGCAAGAGAGCTCAACAATTTCTTGTGGCAAAAGGAACAATACCTAGCCGCAGCCAATGGGGAAGACAAAATGACTAACGTACGTACAGCCACTGTGTATTTGACTGATATAGCTATGTTGTGGTGGCGTAGAAGATGTGTTGACATGGAACGTGGTACATGCACCATACATACATGGGCCGAATTCAAGCGAGAGTTGAAGAGACAATTTTATCCAGAGAACGTGGAGTTCCTTGCCCGCCGAAGGATGAAGACCCTCAAGCACAGCGACTCGCTCCACGAGTATGTGAAAGAATTCTCAGCTCTCACATTGAAGGTCACCAACATGTCAGACAAGGACCTACTATTCAACTTCATGGACGGTCTAAAGCCTTGGGCTGAGTTAGAGCTCCAACGACGAAATGTCCAGGACCTTGCTTCAGCCATGGCCATAGCCGAACAACTAGGGGAGATGAGATTGTCGAACAACGAAAGAAGTAAACTATCCAGCCTGCATGCTTCAAACTTTAGTGGGGGAGACAAGCTACCAAGTCCCCCGAGAGAGAAGCAGCCCTATGATAGGCCCCCAATTAACCTTACGTATGCCAGGAAGAGGAAAGGTCAACAGTCGGCTAAGGAGGGGAATAATTGAACAATTGAAGACATGGGAGCAATTATAGCTGAAGGGAATAAGGACAGTCTTGAGGCATTTATAGCTATGTCAGTTAGGAATAAGAAGAGTGTTGGGCATTTATAACTTGGTCAGCTGGGCATTTATAGAGGGAGTCAGTTATGCTGTGAGAAGAATATAAGAAGGGGCTTTGGGGGATGGGGGGAGGCATGTTTTTTTTTCTTGAGTGAAGAATACTGTGAGTGATTGGGAGAGTCGGCGGTCTCTTGAAGAACCGACAAACTGTTAATGTTTCCTTCTGAATGAATACCAATTTCTTTTGTTGATGTTCGAGTTGTGAGAATTCTGCTGTGAGTCTGAGAACTATGTGTGAAGTTTCTAGGACATAACAGTGGTATTAGAGCCCGTCTTTCCTCGGCCATGGTGACAGCCAAGGAGGTGGCATCGTAGGTGGAGGGTTTCGAAGAACGTTTGACTTCTCTGCATTCTGGAATTCGTGTGGAGATGGATGGCTTACGCAATGAGATTCAGCGACTCGATCCAGATAAGGTAGCAGCTGGACTTTCGAAGATCTCGTCTCTAGAGAGCACGGTACAATCTCTGGAAGGAGGCGTTCAAGATCTGGTGAGACGTTTTGATCTGTTGCTTCATCAACAGGTCTATTTGGCTCCTTTGTCTACGACTGACATTGCTCCTCCTTTAGTCGCATTGAGTCGTGCGGCTGACAAAGGGAAGAGTGCAGATTTTCCGACGTCTTCTTCGATGGCAATGCCAAAACAAACTTCTGATTCACTTCCTCGAAAGTTGGGAGTTACCTAATTTTTATGGGGAAAATCCAGACGGCTGGCTTTTTCGCACAGAGCGCTATTTTGAGATTAATCGCTTGCTTCCGGCGGAGCGTTTGCGAGCGGCCGTTGTCTGTTTAGAGGGTGATGCATTGGCGTGGTATTACTGGGAAGATGGTCGGCGACCTTTTCGGAGTTGGGCAGAATTCAAAGAGCTCCTCCTAGAACGTTTTCGATCGACTTAGGAGGGAAATTTACAGGAGTAGCTTTTATCATTACATCAATCTTCTACTGTTAAGGAATATCGTCGCCAATTCGAGGTGCTCTACGCTCCCTTACGTGACCTACCGTAATCAGTCCTTGAAGCAGCATTTGTTAATGGGTTGCTCCTAGATATCCAGGCCGAACTCCGACAGATGGAACCTGTTGGGTTGGTCAGGAAGATGGTTGCGACCCAAAAAATTGAGAAGAATCAGACCTTATGGGCTTATCAATCAGGTTTATTTCCTCGTGGGCCTGCAACATCCCCCTTTGGAGCTCACTTTAATTCACGGGTTTCGCAAGTGACTACTTCTGTTGTCGCCCGACCTGCACGTGTTGCGATTCCTCCTTCATCTGTCCCCATTATTAAGGCCCCACCACTTGCTTTCAAAAAAATGACTGATAAAGAGATGCAGCAGAAACGTGCGAAGGGTCTATGCTTCCGTTGCGATGAGAAATACAGTCTAGGGCATCGATGTGCTCAGAAATCACTTCAGGTTTTATGGGTTCAAGATGATGTATAGGAAATTACTTCTGATGCGTCTAATATGGACAGCACTTCCGGGGACACTGAAATTGCTCCGGCTCCAGATTCAGCTGTGCTTTGTGTTTCGCCTCTTGTAGGCTTGTGTGCGACTAATTCCCTTAAGGTGCGTGGACGCATTTTGTCACGTGAGGTGGTCATATTGGTAGACTCGGGTGCATCCCACATCTTTATCTCCGAAGCTTTAGTGGAAGAATTGAAATTACCCCGCGCTCCTACACACGAGTTTGGAGTT